CACAAAGTGTTAGTCGGCGGTTATCCGACCAAAGTATGAACAACACAAGTGATTTCTGTTCATATTAGTGATAGTCAAATAGAAAAACAACAGTGTGCGGTAGGTTTCAGTCATACTGCAAAAATAAATAAACCTTTATATTCATAAAACGAGGTCTAGTCACCTGACAATTGTGGTAATCTTCAGGATTTCGTATGAACAAATAACAATGATCATTTCGACACAACTGCAGCCTTGAGTGACATGCTGTAAAATGAATGTTCTAATTGCATAGTAAATTACTTATCTATATCAGTACTCACAGATTGATGGTTAGGAATTACTGAACATACAAGCTAGTTGTCAACATTAGGTCACGCAGAAGCTATAAATCAATCCGTTTGAAATTAAGTATCTGAAATTATCACAGCTTTGGTATTACCATTAAAGGTGGTGCAATGTATTATACTTTCAGTACATTAAATGCTCATTAATCAATAAGGCGAGTGCTGGTCATGTGAATATCAGGGAGCGCCTAGGTTTTAACCAAGCAGAGTACAACTCTTAGACAATTTCTTTGATAACGGTATAAACGTTTAGTCATTTTTTTATAAATACGAAAGTGAGGCTTTCAGTTTGCAAGAAATTCGCTCGACTGCCTGTACTGATGAGGATCACAGAGAATTTGGGTCACCCCATTATACTACGGATCATGTTATTATTATGCACAAATAGCTTATGGTACTTAAGTGTTGTGAAGGAACCGTTTCGGATTTCTTCAGAAATGCAATAATACACAATTTTCAGTAGTGTTGGCCTAATATTCGTCATATTTGAAAGATATAAGTTCTGTGTAATTTAAAAGATTACTGCGTTGACTTTAAAGAAGGAAAAGGAGCGTTGTTCTCAATCGCTCTCAACAATGTCTACAGTGAAAAGTTTCTTTTTAGAGTAACCATAATAAATATTTTCAGAGGAGGATGGACATGTTTCAACAGGACCACAGAGTTATTAATTTAACAAGAACACCGAACTGAACAGACGTCTTGGAACACAAAACGTAACACAAAATTACGACAGGATACAAGTTAATTTTCACCCTCACTATGAGACCTGCAACAAATTAAACAGAACATGATCAGAAATTGGCTTTTTTTAAAACGGAAAGGTGCAAAAGTAGGTTAATCATGTACAGTCATACTCCGGTTTCAGGCTATTATAGTGAAGAATCATAGGTAACATCTTTTGTCTCGCACTCAGATTCCATTAAGACTCTGGTTACCTAATAAGGATAAGTCTATTTTCTGTGTAATTTAGTGGCTGCCCCTGCCGGTGGGTTTTCTGTCTTCTTTTCTCCTAGTTGTACGGGTGCTGCATGAGATTTCTTACCACAATACACCTTTTGATTTTTTAGTGCCACACCTAGGTGTGCTCAAGTCATATTATAACATCTCGTCCAATCCTCTCGAAGCTTCATGACCATGTCTGATACTAATAAAGGATACTGGTACATTGTGTATGTCGGTAGATCCGTTGAAAGCCTCACATCCCTTCCTGTCTATAGTAGATGAAGAGTATGTCCAGTCGATGTGTGGACGCAACCGCGATATGCCAGTAAACACATGTTCATAGCTGGGTCCCACGATCAAGCTTTCTCGTGACTAACGAATGGTTTCAGAAGTGTTTTGAGGGTCCGATTAGTTCGCTCAGCAGGTCCGTTGCCTTTTGAATGGAAAGCAGTAGTTTGCGTTTCACAAGTCTCCAATACTTCATTTGATTCTTGAATAAGTATACTTTCAAAGTTGGTACCTCCATTCAAATGTAACTGAACTGGAGCAACCCAACGAGAAAACCAAATTTCAATTGCCCGTTTAGCTACAGTTTGAGCATCCATACTTCCTAAATAATAGCCTCATACCACGTTGTAAACTGATCAACCACGATTTCCCGTAACGGCCCAACAATCTCAAAGCCCACTATCTAAATCTAGACGGCCAATTGGTTTCACAACGAAAAATGTCGTCACAAAAGAGATTAAGCTTACTCTTTGCAAAATCTGTGTACGATCTTCCTCCGAATGCTGCTCTTTTATCTTCTCTAATATGAGTACCACAGACAAGATAAGAGTAGATGTTTAAAGGCGCTTCACACGCCAACTGCTAGAAAGTTGATCCACTCGCGATTCACAGATAAATGTAAGCACCTGTCTTCAGAACCTTTATAGAACCGTAGGCTAAGGAACAATCTAATATTCCTCTATAAAGCAATATATAGACCCTTATTTATGACCTCCTGCCCAACTATGATTCATGACCCAACCTATAGATCAACAAACAATGCATATACACTACTTATTGTAAAGCACCAAAAGCATATGCGTTGTAAGCTTTTTACAGTGCAGTATAGTTTATTTTGGAAAAGATTGCCAATACCTATCCGCAACCTTGATACTTTTTACCAAATTCAAAAGGCTAATAACCCTGTTACTAAACCATTCCATGAACTGTCGGCCGCCAGTGAGGCACTTTATTATGGACCGCTTAATATCTAGACGTAACAACAATAAAACAAACGCCATTGTTATTAGTTTAAATATCGCCAAATTACAGAACACATGGTTTATCCTCTCCCGTTATTCATTGGTTATTAGCCCTTATGCTCCTTACCCTCACTTTCAAATTCCGAATCTCTCTAATAGTTAAAGATACATTATTCTTCCTAAGTAGACAGATAACTCACTAATCTTATGGATGATGATCATTTAAGGCCGACCATAAGAAGTTCAAAATGTCATAAATTCTTGTGAGTTGCTTAATGTTCTATATTTTTTACCCTGAAAACTTTGGAATTTTATACACTTTCATATCCTTTGGTTTGCTTTTAGTCCTTACCCTCTCCTAACCACATGTAATCTGACCAATTTCTTATAACTTATAATACCAGTTATCTTCATAGCAGTGTAATGTACCAAATGGATGTCTAATCCATAATACAAATTCTTTAGCCATCTGATTTGCTTGTAACACGGAACTAGTAGAGACAGTGTATTCCAACTGTGGGCTTTACCTAAAGCAATATTCCTACTTACCACAAACGTATGACAGCCTTACATCACAAAAGGATGAAGGGTGGCGTTACAGACCAGCAAACATGATGATGAGGGGATAACTTCAATCCACCTATGTCTGTAGAGCAGAAAATGTCAAGTTACGGCTCCTTGTGGTCTAGTGGGATGTCAAGAACCACTTATATTGATACTGATTTATTATGCAAAATACCACTTCAAATCATGTTTGTAATGTTGTATTAGTGTCACTTCTTACCGAGTAATTCAGTTACAAGCAAACTAGACGATTCTTTAAAAACGAAATCTGCTCAAGACTATAAAGTTTATAGAACAATAATGGGCTCAAATAGCTTCGATAAAAATGGGAGACAGTCATTTGTGCATCAAAATACTGCTTTCAGCACTATAATTTATAAATACACATAATCTCATACTTTTAGCTTCATTCTGAACCACCTTCATGTATACAGTTATTTATCCATTCCTAACTTGTTTACACTTACTTTCTTTAACATATTAGAGTGCTATTGCTTAATAACTACCTTAATAAAAGAGAATAAGACCGAGTAGTCATACCTTCACTATTCCTCCATGAAAATTGTCTGCTCTGCTTCTCGTCCTTTCTTTTTCTTACGCCCTTTACAGCCCCCTCGAGATATGCCACCGAAAACAGATATGCAACGGGCGACTTCGTGCTGCACTATTATTAGAGCCTCAGATATTCCAGAGGGATATAAGGTTGCGGTTTCTAGAAGCTCCCAACTTCACCATCAGTTGCCCGTCTCAATGCAACCTTCTTAAAGCGCGCTAACTGGGATATTGACAACATGGGCCTTACTAAAACCGTCTACATTCATATCCTATAAAATATCAACCCAAATGAGTAAGTAACTACAGTTAAAATTGTATCTCTCGTAACAAGTTTATTTCACCTGTAAACTGGCATGCCTCATGTAACAAACTGTTATTTGGGAATAAATTATTATTGCTATTATTATTATTATTATTATAAAGAAGATCAATGACTTTAAACGTAATTTTGAAAAGGACTCATGTTATCTGTAATAAGCCGGATTTCGAAATTCCGCTGAATCACATTTAGATGAACCGTATTATAGTATTATTCGCATTAAACTATTATCAATCAGTCTGAGTATAGCACTACAGATCTGACGCGGTTTATAATACCTAAGTCTTCTTCAGTTGTAAGATTCACATTAAAACGTAGCGTGTTGAATGGGCTAAGACTGTTCTACCGTTCTTGCTATCACTTTATGCTTGTTCTATCATGAACCCACTTTCATCACCACGAATAACGAAATACTGAAAATCCTCTCACATATGGTCATCTTGGTACGATAAGGCCTTTACATGGCCACCAAGCTCTTTCTTTAGTTTTGATTGGCAATATATTTTCCACAATAGCTGTTTAGGCTACCACAATGTTGCAGTCAACGAGATTTTCGCCATAAAGGGTTGATCTTGGCCTTCTAATTATATGAGCTATAAAACCTTTCATGGGCGGAGACTTAAGGCCTTGAGTAACCAAGAGATATGGTGCAAGACAGTCATATAGACAATTAGTCTGCCTTCGGTTTTTTAATAAAACCTCTCCTGAGCTAAGTAATCCAGATGGTAATAATCGTAAATTACCTTGTGAAAATCAGCACAGAATGAATATTTATACTTATTCTTGGATGACACTTAGTTTACTTTATCCGGAAATGTATGAAGTTCAGCTAAAAAGTCTGACTGCATGAATACCAAAAAATGTTTACGAGGGAGGAGGGAGGAAGTTGAGTGGGTTGCGGTGTACCGTAGAATTCAGAGTTTGTTTACTGTTCAAAGCAAAGTATAGATTTGGGAAACATAAAGTTGTCTTAAGTCTACAAAGTGACAGCAGAAACGAAATGACCAATTATATAGAATTATAGAACTATCAAAAACTTTCGGTATGTATGCGTGCTTTATGTATAGCACCTTGAAACTTCAAGAACCAAAACCACCATTTTGTTTATTCGCATCATCTCAGCAACCTACTGCACCTAGTCAGGTCACAGGTTAGTTGAGTAGTTCCTTCATGTAGGCAGCTTTGGGAAGAAAAACAAGCCTAACATCGAGAAATTAACCCCAACTGCATAGTTCATTCAAAATACGATCTTTTATTTGAATATATAGTAGTTTTTTAGACCTTAACTAAACTTGAAAGGCCAGTAACAAAGCAAAGAAATCTAGCTTACATACTCGTGTATTATCACGTTTGTGGGAGGCAGAAATACCGTCACCGCCGATTGGATGGACCAACAATTCGACTTAACCACATTTCATTTTGTCATACCATGCATCCATCTGAAAACGGGAGTAACGGGTAAAGAGACTAGTTAGAAAACTATGGACAAGTTCTACATAACCCAGTATATGTCCTAGACATCGCATTTTGTAATTAATATATTTTTATTTGTACAACCCGAATCTATCATATCCTGAAACCAGTAATCCAAGTTAGACGTTGTGATCTGTCAGATAAGTTATGGGACTCGAGGTCGACCGGATGTCCGAAAAATAGTCAGCAGTCTTTTTTATACGCCGGTGAGTATGTAAGGTTATTCTAAATATCAAGTGAATCACGAATATCTTCAAAACGCTTGACATCCGGATTAAAGGCTTGGATTTATTTGAAAATCTTATCGCGCGATTAAAGAGTTTGCAGTTTGTGTTTCTTGGAGTTCAGCAGGTAAATTATACCAAATTACAGAAAACTTATATGAAGAGTTATATGAGGTACGTTAAGAGTATAGCTTAGCTTGGGCAGTTTTTCCATTTCATTTCCCTTCTGTGAACAAAGTCGGATAGCTTGAATGCTATAATGGCAAACAAAATAGTAAGAATCAACAGCAGAATGTTAGGACTACTTCAAAGAGTCAATAAGAGCTCACTAAAAAGCATAAGTGTTGGCAGATAGTGTGTTTAAATTATTTCTAAGGTATTTCGACTTAGTTTCTTAAAGATCAATGTATATTGAATTACCTGAAGTACTCTGAGTACCCCGACATGTTGACTATTCGAAAACACTACCAAAGATTCACCTACTGATTAGTTTTATCATACAACTTTATTTCCCTAAGGAAGCTGTAGTTACACCTTATCAGACCTGTGCTATTCCTATTTAACTAAACAATGAAATTGTGAAGAAGCTTCCAAGTCTGGTTTAAAGGTTTACATTACCAAAGTGAAAAGAAGCTGGAGTGTGGGACGACGTCATTTAAACAAATGGACGTTTATTCATCACAGAAAAATAAGAAATAGAATACACTCATAGAATAAGGAATTCTATTCACATTTCTTCTGATCTAACAGTGAGTTTTGGCCGACACGTAATTGTGGCTTTCCACCATTAGATACCGAGCGGTATAGTGAACTCGGTGTCATTTCCTGAAGGAAGAAGAACACCGGAGATGTACACTTACACCTGATTTAATTTTAGGTATAAATTTTGAATAAAATCATTCCTTTTATTGGTGAAAACGATATGAAGTATTAGCACGTAAAGACTGGGTTACACAAGGTAACACTATCACACGATCAAAAACTGCATAACTAAACGATAACCGATGTGACAATCTGCTTTACGCTGTCTGTAAATATTCTTTACTCATCGTAGCGTTGACTGGAACAGTGTGACCAAACAACCTAGTGATCATTGTTCTAGACGACTGTGACGTGGCTACTAAAAACCCTTGAGTACTTATCGCAGACTGTCAAATAAATATAGCTGTGTTACTGAAATAGAAATAGGTAGAATGGAAAAATATACATAATAGGGTTAGACTGGAGTCAAAGTCATTTCCAACAACCTAATTTAAATCCCGTCCTTCGTCTATTAGTCACCAGTAAGAATTGTGGCGAACTGCGTAAACACTTGTTATTCATTTTGAATAACCAAAGCATTTAAAGTGATATAATAATTGATCTTGGGTTCATAATTCCAACGTAAACCCCCAAAAAATATTCAGAAGACTTGACAAGTTATGGTGTGTTTCTTAGGTTCCTTCTCTTAGCCAGTTTCAACGGACACCAGTATCACGCAATATTAAGGCCTGTAAATGATTGATAGACAATCCATACCTTTTAAAATGAAACCTTCAAGGAACACGTTTTTGTAAAACGTTTTCTGAAGTCGTTGTCGGAATCAGTATTTATGAATTGCGCTAAATGGACATGGCATTAAGTTACATTGTCGAATCTCCTGTTAATTATTTTTCGTAATTAAACGAAAATAAGAGAGTTTAGGAACACTGCACTTGTCTGGCAGTCAAGAGAATGAACACTGTCAAAATAGACCTTAATCACTGAGATTTGAATCACCCAGGAGACAAGCACAGCGGGATTGAGTGATAGCATGTTTGCGATTGCTGGGCACCAAAAACCGGAAAAACGGAGTCCATAAAAAATAAAATTAACCACAATAACTCATTTTGGCGTTTTACATCACACATTACGATATGTATGTCATCAGCAGTTAACAACGAACTTACTGGAGATCAAATGATAAGATACTGAAGCGACTCAGCAATGGTCACGTGGTAATAAATAATATTTATCAATACATATGCTGTGATGTTGAAGTAATATGACTTTCGCTTACAGTTCAGAAGAAGCTTTTAAATGATTATTTACAAAAAGATTTTACTTCACGACCTAAAATTTGTAGTAGTTTCCTTCCTTGTTACATATGCTGTACAGATTGAAAAACGTATCCACAAATAACTTGTATTATACTGTAAAAAGTAAGTGGGTTGGTTTTTAAGTGCATGTTGAACTTTTCAAAGGGATTTTGAGGAATTTTCAAGCTTTACTTTGTTCATCGACCATTTATGAAACAAGCTTTAAACCATATGATCTATCAACTCAGGTTTCTTTTGTTTATGTTATTTGATTTATTTATAGAATGCATTACTATATTGGGCGATGAGCCTTAACGAACGTTGAAAAAAAAGTGATAGGTTTTAAAATGAACTACAGTTCTCTTTTGTCTATCTCCATCATATTTTCCGCACTGTTTTTGCATCATGTATCAATATTCAGACGGACAGCTATGTGTATGTTAAATTCACTATGTAATTCCTTCTACAACTAAGACAACTATTAAAATGAACTTGTAGACTGGAATAAAAATGGACGTATTACGCCACATACTGTATGTCTAGCAGTTTTAATGACATGTTTTCGTTCTTTAGGTTTGTCAACATGTTTCTCAAGAAACAAGAATGTTTTTTCCTGCACTACAAAGCAGAATAGCCATACAAACTGGGGGGTTGTGATATAATTATGGATGGCGACTCCATATGTTGTAACCTTGCAGTAATATACAAGATACATAAGTATCATAAAAAAATTGAAATTAGGTTTTCAATAAGTCGAATGACATAATGCAGTCTATTGACTAAATTAGTTAGCAGTTCGGAACCGCTGTTTAGAAAACATCTCAGTGGAAGTTCGCAACATTTTTTGAGCAAATAATCCTTGAAATTTTTGTAGGCCATCAATATAGATAATCTGTGTCGATGATTAGAGACCTCCTCGGGTTAAATGGGAATAATGGGACCAATCAGCTAGCGTCGAGTCACACTTCGCGATTAGTATCTGACGTGGATTAGCCTTTCGTTGTATACAGGTACTACGACGACCGTACAACACAGACGACCTTATTTCAGAAATATATTAGCAAGATTGGGCACAAGGAACAAAGTGTAGCTACTAATGCATGAGTAAGTACATAGCATGCGATCAACTGATGCGCGCTGGCCTTCGTTGACCCTGACGGGTATGGGTGAAATGTTCGGTATTCAGTGGCCCTACTGCTGAATAATTTGACTAGGGCTAAGTGACATTTCACTAGCACTATATTCCTCTCATAAACTTTCTGTGATATAGATATTTTCACGAACTAAACAGCTAGTTTTGTAACCTTCAAATTGTATGTGGTGACTAGCATAAACGAAGCCGGCGTTTCGAAATAATCAGCGTTTGTTTCTTCAGATGTAACTGCCACTATCTGGCGCTTAGACGCTAAATTTGGGTTTGTGCTTAAAGGGTTATTCTTCTGTGATGCCTGTTTTATCACTATCGTGGGATAAGAAAACGATGCCGGAGTGAATTCTCCGCAAAATTACCTTGAATTCTAGATTCTCTGTACAACTGTTTAAGGGAAGATTTTGTTGTTTGATTTGATGACCAGTTATCATTAACTAACTATTCCATAACAACTTCAATTTATATCGCTAGTGATAATGTGATGTACGTTTCGTAATTTCTCACTTGTGTTTCTGTGCAGTCAGTTGTAACAAGTATTATATTGTTGTGCGAAGTTTGAGCGATTATTAAATAGCATGGGGTGGAGAATCAACCTACCTCCTAACTTGGTCTTCGAATTAGAAACTGAGATAAGGAAAGCTCGAAGACCAACAAATATAATGAAACAAGTTTTTATTCACTCGTCGCTACGTTAAATGCTGACTAGACGGTCACTCGTTGAACAAGCGATAAGGGAAATTTATGGATAATGGGATAATAGAGATGACATGGATGCTTTCCTGCGAGAACAACCCGATCATGTGGAGCACGATTACATATCTGCAACTTTCTCCACACTAAAAATTAGGCTGATTAAGGGTTCTTGTTATTCTCGACCGGCAACAGTGAATCAAGCGATAATATTTTATTATCAACCAAGATGGTTGGTGGCTAGTATTGGAATCCAGGACGTGCGTTTCGTCCTATTTGGAACTCGTCAGCTGGATGTACCTGTATCGAAGAGTAGATGTTGACTTCGAGACTTGCGCCCAGCACTGTTCGTTTCAAACAACATCACATTATCCACTTAGTTACTGAGTCCCGATAGCCACTTTGCGTTGTATGTCTGAACCTTCCCATTGATGTTAAAGACTACAATTGATCAGGTGTATCCAGCTGAAAAGTCTCATGAAGGTCGAAACGAGCGTCCTGGATTTCTCTGCTAACCACCGTCATCTCAGCTTATAACGCCTGTGACATAAGGCAATATTGACGCGATCCGCACAGGACGTGCATAAGCTAATAAGAGACCGGTCAATTGTAGTCTTAAACACCAATCAGGAGGTTCAGACAAACAACGAAAGATGGTATTTCATCTAAACACTTACCAATTAAGACTTATTTAATCTCAGAAAAGCCATTACTTTGACCCCTTTTATTTAACTATCAACCATTAAATCACATCACTTGTAAAAACGTGCCTGATCCTTGCTAATGATTCATTTTGATGCGTTCTTTCCGATGTCCGGTATGTATATTTATTGTTATCTTCGTAATTAACTTAATTACCTCTCATTTTTGTCCTAATTTTGCTGGTTAACACTTTAGAAACAGATTATAATTGTTGAATACATACTGTTAGCGGGATATAGATTGTATTGAAGCATGTTTCGTACAGAGGTACGTTGGAGCTCGCTGATAGACTAACTTTTATCCAATCAGCACTAGTAGACACTTGGAGGGGACCACGAAATCAGTGCGTTGTGACATCAATGGAATGCGGTGAATCATTAAATGAAATACGGACCACCGAGAACCGAGAAATGTCATCAAAGCGCAAGTCCGTTTCAACACGTAACAAAGCTGTTCGGGCGATACTATTCACCATGATATAAATATAACTCATAAGAGACGACTAAACAAACAACCTCATTGGACTGAACGAGCAACAGGTTGTTCCGGAAAGTGTTTTGGAGCAGGTGCATTATGCATTAACAAAGAACAAAAAAGTGGTTATCTGTAAAAAAAAACTAATAGCTTTGATAAACAAGGATCGCAACTCTGTGAGTTAGTGACTGAATGATACGACCATTCAAGCGCGGACAACCCGCCACGATGAACTAATAAAGCCACCACAAAAACTTAGGGTCAAGTAAAATAAAAGTGATTACAGAAAGTCAATTACCATACAACAACGTAGATCCAACGGAAATCAGAATTCGTAAAGTAACTTCAGTCCAACGAAAGACAAACATTTGCTTGTATTGGAAGACTAATGGAAGTAACGTTTGGTATGGAGTAAAGTAAAGGATAGTTGTCACACACACTGGAAGCATGAGGGATTTTCAAATACTGAAAAAATCTTAAATCTAGCGAAGAATATCCCTTGGAAAGCGTAAGCTATTTTGAAAAGTGCTTGATAGAATTGATTCAAGCAACCTACAATGCTTGAAGTTGGTTGCATATATTTACGTTTGCAGTGAACTTTGTATTAGTTGTTTCCACTGGAAAGATCAGAAACATATCATTACTTACTTACGCCTGTTACTCCTCGTGAAGGAGCATAGGCCGCTCACCAGCATTCTCCGTTCAACCCTGTCCTGAGCAATCCTTTTCGGCTCCTTCCAGTTGTTATTCATCCTTTTCATATCTGCTTCTATTATCTGACGTAATGTGATCTTTGGCCTTCCTCTTTTCCGCTTCCCTTCAGGATTCCAAGTTAGGGCTTTCTTCGTGATGCAGTTTGACGATTCGCGTAATGTATGTCCTATCCATTCCCATCGTCTTTTCCTAATTTCCTCTTCAGTTGGAAGCTAGTTTGTTCTCTCCCACAGAAGGCTGTTGCTGATGGTATCCGGCCAATGGATGATGAGTAACTTGGGTAGACAATTGTCTATAACTACTTGTACTCTTTTGATGATGGTTGTAGTAGTTCTCCAAGTTTCAGCTCCATACAGTAGAACTGTCTTGACGTTCGTATTGAAGATTCTCACTTTGATATTGGTTGAGAGTTGTTTTGAGTTCCATATGTTCTTCAATTGTAGGAATGCTGTCCTTGCTTTGCCAATCCTCGCCTTTACGTCTGCATCTGAACCTCCTTGTTCATCGATGATGCTTCCCAGGTATGTGAAGGATTCTACATCTTCCAGAGTTTCGCCACCAAGAGTGATTGGATTGGTGTGCTCCATATTGTATTTTAGGACCTGGGTTTTCCCCTTGTGATGCTGAGACTGCTGCTAAACTGGGTGTATTTATCTGCATTCGTTCGTGTGTATGCGATAGGAGGGCCAGGTCATCAGCGAAGTACAAATCGTCTAATTGATGTTGAGCTCTCCATTGTATGCCAAGTTTTCCCTCAGGTGTCAAGGTCTTCATAATACAGTCTGTTGATCTCGAAGTTAGGTGTCCACCGAGTCTTTCATCCGGTTCGGCAACACTCGGTTGAATACTTTTGCGGATACTGACAGTAGTGTGGTGCCTCCGTAGTTCTCACATTTGCTCAGATTTCCTTTCCTTGAAATCTTGATGAGACGTCTTTCTTTCCAGTCCATCGACACTTGTTTCTCCTCCCAAATCTTTTTGAATAGAAGGTAAAGCATGTTTGTAGTTACGTCGATGTCTGACTTCAGTGCTTCAGTTGGTATGTTGTCAGGTCCTGCTGCTTTCCCGTTCTTGATTTGTCTGATGGCCATTCTGATTTCTTCCGTCGTTGGTGGATTGACATCTATAGGAAGATCTGTGTGTACTGCTTCGATTTCCGGTGGATTCATTGGAGCCGGCCTATTCAGGAGTTCCTCAAAGTATTCTACCCATCTGTTCCGCTGTTCTCAAATTTCAGTGGTTGGCTTGCCTTCTTTGTCTTTGGCCGGTCTCTCTGGTTTACCATATTTCCCTGCTAGTCTCTTCGTTGTATCGTAAAGCTATTTCATGTTTCCTTCTCTTGCACCTTTCCCCGCCGTCGTTGCTAGTTCTTCCACGTATTTCTGCTTGTCGGCTCTAATGCTCTTCTTCACTTGCTTGTTTGCTTCTGTGTACTCAGCTTGTGCTTGGACTTCCTCTGCTCGTGTTCGGCTGTTGTTAATTGCTGTCTTCCTGTTCCTCCTTTCTTTGATCCTGTCCAGTGTTTCTGTAGAGATCCATTCCTTATGATGGTGTTTCTTTAGGCCCAGAACCTCTTGACACGTTGAAGTTAATGCTTCCTTGATGTCTTTACAGTTGTCCTCCATAGTAGTTTCTTCTTCTTTCAGTAGATCCTGTAAGGCTTGGAACCTGTTGTTGAGAGCTACCTTGAATTCATTGAGTTTGTCAGGATCTCGAAGGAAGGCTGTATTGAACCTTTGTATTGCTGTTTGTCCAGTTGTCCAGTTCTTCCTTAGCTTCAGTTTTAAATTGACCACAACTAGGTGGTGCTCTGAAGCTATGACGGCTCTTCTCCTGGTTCTCACATCTTCCATTATCCTTCGGAACTTTCCATTGATGCAAATATGTTCTATCTGGTTCTCTGTAGTGTGGTACGGTGAGATCCATGTAGCCTTGTGTATACGCTTGTGTGGAAATATTGTGCCTCCTATGACCAATTTGTTGAATGCATACAGATTTGCAAATCTTTTTCTATTTTCGTTTCTTTCTCCCAGTCCATGTCGTCCGATGATATCTTCATATCCGGTGTTGTCCATTCCGACTATGGCGTTAAGATCTATCAGAATGCTGAGGTCGTTTCTTGGGCACTTCGCTATGACTGATTGCAACCTACCATAGAACTGATCTTTAATGTCGTCATCGCTATCATTGATGGGTGCATAAAATTGGATAACATTCATTGTGATCCCCTCCTTCTTTGTGTTGAATGATGCTTCGATGTTTCTGGACCCGTGAGATTCCCATACTACAAGTGCATTTCGTGCTACTTTGGACAGCATTAGAGGAACTCCTTGAATATGTGGAGCATTTCCCCCTTCGTGACGGGAGTATAGCAGCAGTAATAAACATATTCTTCTAAGAAAAAGGTTCGCAATCTACGATCTAATAAACTTAAAGTGGGGTCCCGTTTTTATCATCGAGTGGTCGAAGACTGGAACGCCCTACCCGAACAAGGGGCATCAGCCCCATCGACGAATATCTTCAAGGAGAATCTGAACGTATACTGGAAAGCAAACTTTCAGGACTAACACAGGTCCACCAACCTACTATCATTATTACTGGGGACTGAGGCGAAAGTACATATTTATAAGGACGGTTTATCTTAGATTAATTTATTACCAATCTTTGTCATATATTTACTTTTGCTAAATACTCTGCTTACTGTAAAGTTCAAGTTTGATTAGTCCATATTCAAAAGGATCGGCTGTAAGTACACATACTATCCATCACAGATGAAAATTTGGTCATTTGATTTTGGATTGTGAGCGCGCTGATTTTGTATATATGGGTGTCAGTTGTGTTTCTTCTGTTAAGTCCTAGGATGTAAGTTGTGAGGCTTTCGAAACCTAACGTTTTCACACTAAAGGCCAAAGTCTCTCCGCTATGATTTGTGTGACGACCGGTTAGTGCCACGTTTACTATTTTCAGGCTCTTAGATTAACTTCCCGTCCGTATGAATGTAGTAGTAACTTATACGATGAAAGTTATCAACTTCGAGATGAATATTCAAGAAAACACAAAAAGCATTCTCATCGCTCGAAGGGACATGGAAACCATACATCCAAGTATTCTAGTCACAAGCACAAAAGGACAGGTGACTGGTCACCTGAAATCTCCCCTAATGATGCTCCTAAAAAGTTTGACGTCGTTCATTCTTTTATACGAAAATTTATTTAGAAAGAAAAAGCACAAGAGGCGTTCTCGCAGTCGTAGCAGTGACAGAAAGGTCCGTGTTTCCAGGCATCACTCTCCGGAATGTACGGATATCAGCTCCTTCAAGTTCCGATCCAGTCTTATGTCCGAGCTATCAAAACATCACAACTTTAAGGAGAAAATTTTAAAGGCTCAAAACGTTCATGAGACTTATGAGATCAAAGATTTTCGCCCAGTATCCGCTGAACGTGACTTGAAACAATCAAATGTGAAGTGTTTCGAAGCTCCTAAATCTGAGTCCTCTCTAATCCCATTAGATGAAATAGCTTTACCACCAGAGCCAAGTAAAAAGCTGTCAAGCTCGGTTTCCTCAGTCAGCACACCACTGTCTAAGGAAACTGCTATACGAGATTCCAATCCAGATTCAACCGTAAAGGATCCTCATCGGATAGATTTGCTGCAAACGAATAAGTTGCTAAAAACACACCAATTACCATTGCCTACGGAAACTCTGTAAGTGTATATTTTGGCTTATTCTTATGTATTTCAGGTTTGAGGATAAAAAACCGTCTATTACGGAACTTCCGTTGCCTCCTGGCTTTGACAGCACAAACCTAGACACAATCTTTCCTAATAAGTCACCAAAGCATTCCGTCCCTGGGTCGACAGTGAAACCTGCCGTCAGGCAAAGGATAACTAAACGTCCCAAGTATGTTGTTGGTTATCTTACCCTTCACGTTTGATTATTTTGATTGAAAGTTGGAACGTTTGGAGATGAAAATGTATTTTCGGTCATACACCCCACTTACTAAGTCGTATGGTACTAATTAAATTTAAGCGCATCTGCATGAACCATAAAACCACCTTATAATACAACACCAATAGCATGAAAGTGGATATCCTTAAGGTAAGTAAATAACAAACAGCTATTGAAAGTCAGTCCTCGTTTATAAGCCAAAAAATACAGCAGTCAAGCGGCAGCGTTTTGATATATTAGGTTGTTCTGTGTCAATCACCTTTGAGATGTTACTGAAATACATCAAACCTGTTTCACTTTTCACTAATAAACATTGAAAAATTGGCCACGTATACCGTTACACTGATATCAGAATAGCTTATTCTGGTCTTAAAACTTACAACTGGATAGATGTTTAGTTCTATTTCCTATGACCTCAAGCTATTATTTTTGTTCTTTAGTAGCTATTATGCCATTATTTCAGACTTGTCAACTGGTACGATGGAGATTAACCCAATAAAGTAACGCCAAGCTTTCAAACCTCACTTTAATTAGTCATACCTAACTTATCATTATTAGCCATACTTTTCATTATCAGCAAATAACTTCCAGATAGGGGTACAGTTATGTATATCATTCCAAATGTATGCTATTACTTATAAGGTATGATCTTTGAAAGCAAATAATTTAATAAATCGGGCCTTTAAAATATCACTCAAAGATAGCGAAGATAGCCTTTAGGTAATATTAAGATTGATCTTCAAGTTCTAGGTTACTATTACACTTGTTGCAACTCGACCTTCAGTATGTGTATCATATTAGTGTGAGTTTTTGTTGACTACTTTTCAGTATGCCCATAGGGCATTCGAATTCTGACCGTCAGTCTCCTAAGGTTGATTGTTCGCAACTTTAGCTTATGTATATACATAATGTATGCGAAACCAATTTGTTGATCTTCGGGTCATTGGAATTTGTTGTATTTTGACTAATAGCTATTTCACTTCATTTTGTAAAGGATTTGCGCACTTAGAAGCAAAAGTCGTAATAACAAGACATGGGGAGAGCGTTCTGTGACGGCTTTTGACACACTAATTCAAGTTGGTGAAGGTACGTATGGTCATGTCTATAAAGCAAGAGATAAAATCACTGGTAAGTATTTACTTATTTGTAATATTACGATGTTTATTCCAGGGGAATACAAAGCATTGAAAAAAGTTAGGCTAGAGAATGAAAGGGAGGGATTTCCCATAACCGCTGTTCGAGAAATAAAAATACTTCGCCAACTCAGACATCCTAACATTGTTAACTTATGCGAAATCGTTACTGACAAGGACGATCCTACTGACTTTAAGAAAGATAAAGGTAATGCTTGTTATTATTCATTGTTTTACTTTCTGCAAGGTGCTTTCTTCCTAGTTTTCGACTACATGGATCATGATCTTTATGGTATTTTAGAGTCTGGATTGGTAGCTTTCAGTGAACAGCATATCGCTTCTCTGATGAAGCAGCTCTTGGATGGCCTTAGTTTTTGTCATGATAGACATTTTCTTCATCGTGACATAAAATGTTCTAATATCCTGATTAACAACAAGTAATAAAGTTAATTGAGTTATTGGTTTTTCAGAGGACAGCTGAAGTTAGCGGATTTTGGACTGGCACGTTTATATATCGCTGGAGATAAAGAAAGACCGTACACGAATAAAGTCATAACCCTGTGGTATCGACCTCCAGAATTACTACTTGGTGAAGAAAGATATGGCCCAGCCGTTGACATATGGTCTTGCGGGTAAGGAGAAAAGTTTTACAGTTTTTACCCCTCTAAGGTGCATATTAGGAGAAATGTTCACTCGTCGACCAATGTTTCAGGCTAGTGAAGAAGTCGAACAATTAGAAGTCATATCACGAATTTGTGGGTATCCAGATCCAGCTATATGGCCTAATGTTGAAAAATTACCTTTCTATTCGACAATAAAACCTAAAAAGATGTACAGACGCAGACTCCGAGAAGAATATCACATGTAAGGCTTCCATTATTATTATTATTATTTCCTGCATAGCATTCCACCACATGCTGTAGATCTCCTCGATCATATGCTTCAATTGGATCCCCAAAAGCGATGTAGTGCACGTGAAGCGCTAGCTTCACCATGGTTACGGAATATTGACCCTACAAAGATTTCCCCACCAAGGTATTTACTATAGAAATATTCTACTCTTTCTTAGATTACCTGTTGACCAAGATTGTCATGAAATGTGGAGCAAAAGAAGGCGACGCATGTTGCGCCAGGAGCAGGAAGTAAAGGCTCAGAGAATTGGCCAAGAAACATCCTCTTCCAAGTTCCCAGGTGGGTTATTTTCTTAAACGTTATTTTTTGTAGCTGTCACATCTCGTACTTCCATAGTGGATGTTAATTCTGTTCCAAATGGACCCTCTCGAAACCAAGTATATTCAACAAGCAGTAGATCTGGATCATTCAAACAAAGCATTCCAAACAAACTTAGTAGTGACGGATTTCCAGACAGTAGTTTCAACATGACACAACTTCATCATCCTCAAATTTCTACTAATCCCATAGATTCCACTACTAGTCTTAAGAATCAGCTACGAGACTTATTGGCGGATTTCGCAGATTCTGGAATAGACCGTTTCAAAGAATCTATCACTGAAGCACTGAAAGCAAATCCTAATTTATTAAAAGGAATGCAAGAATTACTTGGTCCTAGTGATCCTAGTGAAAATGCCTCAGCTGTTCTTGCGTATATTTTATCATTGTTGGCAGATTTAAGTAGTCAGAGTTCAACTGCTATGGAAATGAGTGATGCAAGTATCCAAACGGCATCTTCACAGATTCATCCTCAACATTTGCCACGTGATTCAAATAATCAACTAACCTAGTATTACTGCTACTACCGCCACTACAGCTCTTTCTAAGGATTCTGGTATTTTCTGATGTGAAAGTTCAACCATTGTGTGCATTATACATATATTTCAATTTTGTTGTATCTAAGCTGTAAAAAATGAAATGCTTTATTGTTTTTGTCCTGTTTATTTAAATGATGTGCTATTTTTAGACAGATAATGTAGATATAAAAACAGACACTTGTGATAGACATTATCCGAAACCTAATTTTATACTGATAAATTTTCGGCCCCAAAATACATGTTATTACTTGATAGTCTTTTGCTCATTTTTACTGGTATCAGCTCAAAAGGTTTTTGTTGTGAGTACATCTCTAGCAATTATTGCACTTGCATAAAGGTTATTATTAAGAAAAAACATTGTCAATGTTATTCCATTCTGTCAGGCAGTTTAGTCACAAGACTTGAAGTGTCACGGTTTAAAAAATTATTAGGTGATTTTAGGTCAATATTGCACACGTATCAATGCGAATTGTGGAATATTGTCATATATCGATAGTGAAACAGAAAGATGCCTCTTCAAATGGGAATTAGGAGAGGTTTACTTCCGAAGCAAACTGACTTTCCTTTAAAAATCATTTTGATAGTTTAGTAATGATATTTCATAGGGATACTAGATAGGGATACTGGATCACCGGGTAAGTAATAGTGAGGTTAGACGCAGGGTATTAGGGAATGATGGTAAATCAGTTGATGAGGTTGTGAATCTTCATCGACTGAGATGGTTGGGCCACGTGTTACGTATGCCTGAACACCGATTACCACGACGTGCAATGCTATCCGGTATTGGAAATGGTTGAAAGTTAGGGGCGGCCAGACCAAAACGTGGCATCAGTGCTTGAAGTCACTAACTTCTAGTCTGAGCCATGTTGGTAGATGCAGACTACTTGGTTGGGGTCCGCGTGACTTTCGTAACCAATGGTTGGAGACTCTTGGTGACATGGCTCAAAATCGATCACAATGGCGTCGGTGTATACACTCCCTGTCTTCCCTTAAACTAAGAGATTAAAATCGCTTCATATCTTTCTTTCTACGAAACAATTCTTTCTTCTTGTACTATATCTCTATACGCAATCTTTCTCTTACATATTACTACCTTTGACCTAACCACTGCTATGAATCCAGTGTCCACCTTGTTGTGTTAATGAGGTATGGCAACTTGGACCGATGCATATATGTGCCTGGTCCTACGTTGTAGCTGACTGACTGAGGGATACTAGCAAATAAGGTTTCATAATAATCTCATTTCCCCAGTAATAATTCTTAAGTCATCATTCAAATACTTTATATTTTGGTAGGATAGTGGGAAAGCTAGTATCTTCTTGAAATATAATGTCGACTTACAATTTTCCCATTGTTTTGATAACATATTTTGCTGGTCAAAGTTATCTGTACTAAAAAGAGAAGCAACAATTTTACAGTTATTTCAGCAATCAGACTGACATTGAAATTATTCAGGTATTTCTAATCTCAGTAACTGACTTGGAATTATGTACTAATCATTCTAAAGTATTCGTACAATATACATCCTTAACAATCTTTGCGGTCTTATGGAGGGTTAATCCCAAACATTCTAGATAGGCCACTTCCTATTGTATTTCTTTGAGTAGATAAATGTGAACTATGGTCGACCACTGTTTGTATGATGTCTGTCTCACTGAAACAGTAAGAACTTAAGAAGACGGACAATGTGCCGTTGATCCTTCATTGATTCTGCTTATACCCTCACTGACTGCAGTTCTGGTGAAGTGAAAGATTAGTTCTACAATTAACCTCGTCACTTTTAGAAAACCATGCACTTAACTGTTGTAGTCCTAGAATGTACCCGAGTGCCCAAACCGAAGCAGGTGGTTTTCCTAGGGTGCCACACCCGGAGCCTTTGATTTAAAGGTCTGACCCACAAGGCAGTGGAGCATCGTAAGGAGATACAGTCCCATGGTAGCCGGTGACCAACGATTGGTTCATACGCCATTTGTTCCCGCAGGATAGTGGAACCCATGTCCACCACTGGTTTGGGGTCCGGTTAAAGCGCTGGACATTCGCATTTCGTCCTCTCATTTTCGTAAACGGCACCCTCGCCACGATAAGGCAGTAAGTAGGACTTCCCTGTCAGAGGCTGTATTCGCGTGGCCGTGTGGGAGCATTTGTAGAGGAAGGGCGGGCCCACCCCACTCTCGGCCATACTAGGGCATTTTGGGGCACATGCTTGGACTGTGATCATGCTGTACCAATAGGAGTACGCGTTCGCCCACGTCTTACTGGGCACAGAAGAGCTGCAACAGGCAGACCGGTTAGGTCTTAATTCAAAGTGGGAAGGTCAAGAGTCCATTTAGGGGAGAATCAATTCAGCACTCAGTCGATCATGGAGAAAAACATTCTGACAAAGTGAAGTTTGATATGATATCCAAACTGCTGCAAATGCATCAGTGATATTGGTCACTGACTTAAATGAAAAGGTTAAGAAGCACCAGTGGACTTCGATGCCATCTACTGAATTGATAGCTGTTACAAAACTCATCTTGACAAACTGGCAGAACGATGAGGATGACAATTGAAATACAGACTAATAGGAAGTTCGAACAATGATTGTGAGAGATGGTGATCAACAGTAGCAAAATATGTGGGGAAAACTGACTGTGGGTAACACTAGACAACTGTTACGACTCTTAGAGAAAACAAGTATGTAGGAGTGGGGTGTTAGTGAGAATATCTCAGAAGTACACGGAACAGTTATTCATTCTTAATCCTGAAGATTGGAACGATGGGTAGAACGGTTTAAAGGATGATTCAACTGTGTTGTAGCAATCTTCCGATTACGTATTATTATCAAAAAACCTGGATTGGAAATCATGAGAAGTCTCCTACTTCATAATGAAATTGAGAAGTTTTTACTTAATCTAAAGCGAAGGAGAACAGAAGGTATTGTTAGATCGATTTCTGAGACCTTAGAGGATAGTGATTTGGTTTTGACAAACAGATTGTCTCAGATATTATCTTGAGTCTAAGAACAGGATTTAATTCCACCTCACTGGTCTTGACCTCTGATCTTTTTATCGCGTCTGGTGTTGTCACCCCCACATGGATTATTCCGGCTTCTGTACAGACCGATTTATTCTTTCTTGCGTTATTGTCCACACTTTGACCTATTCAATTATTTGCTTATAATCTTATCCGATATATGGACGTATGTGTCTGTATCGCTTACTCTGTGTACCAAATGTCTTTAGCTTAATTTTTTGTCTGATTCCAGATGGTGAGTCATGCCTTATCAAATAGATTTGGTGCTCTTTCCCTTTCCTTTTTACTTTCCTGCTTCTCGTCTTAATAACTTTCTGAGTAAATGAATTTACGTGATAAATTTATCCAACTGAATCAGTATTTGGTTTCTTATTACCACCGCCGCTCAAATGGGGTTAACCTATGTGTAAAATACGGAATTAAGTGGAGGATTTATGTCCATGAGATATTCATTAGTTCGTTTAAATAGGGAGTCATATCATGAGCCACCAAAGTTCCACACTATGAGAATGGACAAAAATCGACTGAGGAACCAGTTTGAGGATAATACCCCAGGCAATGTGTTAATCAACAACCAACGAATAACAACAGCACGTAAAATGTAAATCTTAGAGAGACTTGTCGTTTAAGATCAGCATATGGATGTATCGGCTCTAGAGGTAGCTCTCATTCTCTAACTTCCCAGGAGTTGATTTTTCATGAAGAGGATCACTTATAAACGTAGATGAAATATTCCAATTAATTAAGACTCAGAATGCTAAGATGTTTGGGGTGTGTTCCTTTTCTTGTAAATGGAAATTGTTTTTCTCAGGAATAATCTGCATCGACCCATAAACTAGCAATAGAGAGTGAAGTAGTTGAATGCGTTGATCACTTCACTTCACTTGTGTTAAAACTTTTATCAAACCTGGTAAGCTAGTGTCTGATGAAAGCTGGGTCAATCTTCAACATATTCAGTTATTTATGACCTAGGCGAGATATCCTGCCAGCTAAAAGGTATATATGCTGCTCAGCAATCTACTCTGTTCTACCTTACATATGTGGAACATGATTCGTGAAAGTACAAGACATGAGTAGTCAGAGTTTTCGATCTTGAGTATCTTCGAACGATTGGTTGCGTTTCATGGATAAGTCGAATGAAGAATGTTAATACTGAGCACATAATAATAGGTAAAGATGGAAAGCCGGCTGATGAGTTTGCTGATTTTCATCGACTGAAGTGGTTAAGACGTGTGTTACGTATCCTTAACCACTGACTACCTTGATACCTGATGCCTTTTAATGTAGGAGTAAATTGAAAAAATCTAGGATAGCCCAAATCAAGATATGAAATTAACCTATGAAGTCAGTGACTTAGTTTTAACATTGTTGAGAGATGCAGGTTATTTAGTTGGGTCCTCATAATAATAGCGAGCAGTGGTTGTGGACTTTGGATGACAAAGCTCCAAGTCGTTATCAAAGGAGCAGATGAATTAACTTTACCTCGTTCTAGATTTTGAATTCCAGTATTCACCCATGCGTAACTTTCTAATTAAACTTCTCTAACCATATACTTCCAATATTCAGTCGTCTTCATTGTGATTGTTATATCCTTCTCGTGGTGTTAACATGGGACGGCGACGTCAGCCAATGCTAATCTGTGTTAGGCTCTATGCTGATGATGACTGACTGTCATGATCTTTGAGACATGCTTCATATACACTTAATCGAACCGAATGTTAGCTTCTGGGATCTCATTCGTAGTTGACAGTGAATAGAAAACGACCGTGAGTTTAACTGAACGAATAGTTGGCTTTCGGCAGGACGTGTACTAGTAGTTCCCAATATCTCTACAGCAAATATTTTGTAGTGTTTCCTAACTTTTTAACTAACGATGTGCAGTTTGTTTTGCATGTTGTTCGGTTGAGATCTACAACAATGTAACTAACGTAATGGGGATGGTGTTTGTATATTTCAAT